TCAGAGCTCTGGCACAGGTTACAGACCAGGCAGCAAGTATTTCTTAAATTATGTAAGTACTACTTGGATATATTCTTCTTATAAAAAATTTAAGTATCATAGTCAGGGCACAGTGGCTCAGGCCTGTAATCCCAGCACCTTAGGAGGCTGAGGCGGGTGGATCATTTGAGGTCAGGGGTTGGAGACCAGGCTAGCCAACATGGTGAAACCCCATCTCTACTGAAAATACAAAAATCATCCGGGTGCAGTGGCAGGCGCCTGTAATTCCAGCTACTCAGGAGGCTGAGGCAGGAGAATCGCTTAAACCCAGGACGTGGAGGTTGCAGTGAGCCGAGATAGCGCCACTGCACTCCAGCCTGGGCGACAGAGTGAGACTCTAAAACAAACAAACAAACAAACAAACAAAAAAAAATTAAGTATCTTAAGACTAAACATAAATCACCTCTGACATAACCCCAATGGCTCAGCCCCTCCCCCTCTTCTCTCCCCCCATCTCCTGATAACAATCATCAGAGATGGAGCTCTGACTCTGATTTTTGAGATCTTGGAACCCTGAGAAGAGGTTAGGCCTCCCCCCACCTGCCCGCCTCCCACACACTCTTCCCAGGACACACAGCCGCCTCATGTCCCAGGGAGGTACCTCCTGCCCTCTGCCCTCTGAGCTCCCCTGCACTTGTTTCTGCTACTGCGTGACAAACCATCAAAATCTCAGCAGCTTAAAACCGCACCCATTCGTGAGTTCACGATCAGAAGTGCGGCATGGGCTCTCTGCTCACAGGGTGGACATCAGCGTATGGACTGGGCTGAGTTCTTGTCTGGAAGCTCTCTAATTCTAGCAGAATCTAGTTCATTTCAGCTGTGGAACCTATGGTGCGGTTTCCTTGCTCTTAGCTTTCAGAGGCTACCCACATTCCTAGCCAATGGCCTCTTCCATCTTTAAGCCAGCAGTGGCGTGTCAAATCCTTCTTATGCTTTGAATCTGACTGCCCCTTCTGCATCCAGCTGATGAAAGCTCTATTATTAAAATATTGTCGTGATTAGGTCCGGCCCACCGCATAGTCTCCCTATTTTACAGTCAGTGCTCCTGTATGACATAACCTCATCACAGGAGTACATTCCATCCTGGGGCCAGGTGCAGTGGCTCAAACCTGTAATCCCACCACGATAAGAGGCTGAGGTGGAAGAATCGCTTGAAGTCAGGAGTCTGAGATCAGCCTCAGTAACACAGCAAGAGCAATGATCTCGCCACCGCACTCCAGCCTGGGTGACAGAGACCCAGCAAGGAAGGGAGGAAGGGAGGAAGGGAGGAAGGGAGGAAGGGAAAGGAAGGAACAGGAAGGAATGGGAAGGAACGGGAAGGGAAGGAAGGGAAGGACGGGAAAGGAAGGAATGGGAAGGGAAAGAAGGGAGGGGAAGGGAAAGAAGGGAAGGGAAGGAAGGAGGGAGAGAGGGAGGGAAGGCAGGGAGGGAGGGCAGGGAGGGAGGGAAAAATCCATCCAGGGCACAGTCCCAGGGATTATGCAGGGCACACACACCAAGGGGTGGAAATGCTGGGTGCCATCCTAGAATTTTGCCCACTACATCCCTGAGCTTGGTACTGGCTCAGCTCTGCCTCTCCTTCTCTGCAGAGGACATCCTGGGCGTGCAGGCCACCCGGCCCTGGGAGTTTTACCCCAGCAGTCCCTGCCGCACAGTGGTCTTCCCCCTGCTGACCTCCGGCTCTACCTTCTGGCTGCTCAGGCTCTGGGGAGAGCTGGGGCCGTGGCCTGGCCTGGTGAGTAGCTATGCGCTGCTGGTGGGGCCGCGGCTCCTCCTTGCTGCCCTTTCCTTCGCTCTGGACGGGGTGGTGTACCACCTGGCCCCACTGTTGGGGGCGGATCGCTGGAATGCCCTGGCCCTGCTCTCTGGTTCCTACGTCACCCTGGTCTTCTACACAAGGACCTTCTCCAACACCATTGAGGGACTCCTCTTCGCGTGGCTGCTGGTGCTGGTATCCCCCCATGTAATGTGGGGCCCTACATGCAAGGAGCCTGTGCCGGGTCCATGGTGGCACAGCTGGCTTCTTGGAGGCATCGTGACTGCTGGCTTCTTCAACCGGCCCACCTTTCTGGCCTTTGCTGTGGTCCCTCTCTACCTCTGGGGCACTCGTGGAGCCACAAACCCTGGCTTGAAGTCCCTGACCCGGGAGGCCCTGGTGCTGCTCCCTGGGGCGGCCCTCACAGCAGTGGTGTTTGTGGCCATGGATAGCTGGTATTTCTCCAGCCCCGCTACATCCAGGACCCTTGTCCTTACACCTGTCAACTTCTTGCACTACAACCTGAATCCCCAAAACCTGGCGAGGCATGGCACGCATGTGCGGCTCACTCACCTGGCAGTCAACGGCTTCCTGCTCTTTGGGGTGCTGCATGCCCAGGCCCTGCAGGCCGCGTGGCAACAGCTGCAAGCTGGCCTCCAGGCCTCTTTACAAATGGGCCTCCTGAGGGCACTGGGTGCCCGGAGCCTGCTGTCCAGCCCCAGGTCCTATCTCCTTCTCCTCTACTTCATGCCCCTAGCCCTGCTGTCTGCCTTTAGCCACCAGGAGGCTCGGTTCCTGATTCCCCTCCTGGTCCCCCTAGTCCTGCTTTGTAGTCCACAGACCCAACCTGTGCCTTGGAAGGGCACCGTGGTCCTCTTCAATGCCCTCGGTGCCGCCTTCTTCGGCTGCCTGCATCAGGGGGGCCTGGTGCCTGGCCTGGAGTACCTGGAGCAGGTGGTCCATGCCCCTGTGCTCCCAAGCGCACCCACCCACTACACACTCCTCTTCACTCACACCTACATGCCCCCCCGGCACCTCCTCCACCTCCCAGGCCTGGGGGCACCAGTGGAGGTGGTGGACATGGGAGGAACTGAGGACTGGGTCCTGTGCCAAGCCCTGAAAAGCTTTACCAGACAACCAGCCTGCCAAGTGGCTGGTGGGCCATGGCTCTGCCGCCTCTTTGTGGTGACCCCTGGCACCACCAGGGGTGCCGTGGAGAAGTGCAGCTTCCCCTTCAAGAATGAAACACTTGTATTTCCCCATCTAACCCTGGAGGATCCACCAGCCCTGTCCTCCTTGCTGAGTGGGGCTTGGAGGGACCACCTCAGTCTTCACATCGTGGAGTTGGGGGAAGAAACCTGACAATATGACAGGGCACCCACCGCGCACGATTCAGCCATAGAAGTTGCTGCCCCACCTTCTACTTGGGTAGCCGGGCTGGGACGCTGGCACAGGGCCCAGGTTCTCCTTCACGACTCCCACTGCTGCGTCTCCTGGGCACGGCTGTCCTGCCTTCTGGGTGAGTTGGCACTCCTCTCCCTGAGACCAAAGATCTGACCTGTCAGTCTTGATGTCAAGGTCCCCAAAGAACCAGGTGTAAGTGATGACACCTGTCGGTTCCTGCCCTACTGCTTCCAGCCACTGTGATGTTTGAAACATATAATAGTACCTGGTTGGGAAAAAGAATGAACCGCCAGTGACATTCCCCAGCGACCTCTCCCAAACTTCCCATGATGCCTTGCCCTTGCTGTCATGACAGCCTCTGGCTTCCTGAGACCGATCTGCCTATCCAAATAATGTGGAAGTCAGTGTGATGAAGTATAGAGAACAGGTGGCCCAGATCCAGGGGACCCAACTTCTAGCCCCTTAGTCTGTCACCCCCTCGCTGTGTGATCTTGAGAAGGCCCCTTCCACTCTCCCACCCCACTTCCCAGTCTGTTGGGATCAGAGGATCTTTGAGGTGCCTGCCAGCTAACATCGTGTCATTCCTGGAATCCACAGCACATGTCCCCCGTCCTCGACAGGCACAGCTCTCACAAAGCTCTTTAAGCATGGAAGTGGGAGTTGTGTTGTACTTCATGGCCCTCCGAAGCCTGCTGTCTCAGTGTTTGGTTATTGTGCAAACAAGTAATGTTTGAAATATATAATTGCACCTGGAGATTTTCTGCCTACTTTCTTTTACTCCTGTTCCTGAGAGGTGGTGGGAAACTCTCCAGGCATTTCTGCACCTTGTCCTTAAGAGTCATTCTCCTGACGGCGCGGTGGCTCACACCTGTAATCCCAGCACTTTGAGAGGTCAAGGCGGGCAGATCTCGAGGTCAGGAGTTGAGACCAGCCTGGCCAACATGGTGAAATCTGTCTCTACTAAAAATACAAAAATTAGCTGGGTGTGGTGGCGGCGCCTGTGGTCCCAGCTGCTCAGGAGGCTGAGGCAGGAGAATGGCTTGAACCCAGGAGGTGGAGGTTGCAGTGAGCTGAGATCGCGCCACTCACTCCCGCCTGGGAGACACAGCGAGACGGTCTTGGGGGGAAAAAGAAAGTCATTCTCCCAGATTAGGGAGCCAGATGTTCTCCCTCCTTAGAAGAACTGTGGGTCTCAAGCCCTCCCATCCTGCCCCAGAGAGCAGGGAACACACCATGCTCAGCTAGTGTCTGGTTACCAGCCTCAATTTTTCCGATGGCTTCAAGCTTCTAGATTGCATGATTATCTGTGTTGCCTAATTAGAAATGATCAGATCCGGGTGTGGTGGCTCACACCAGTAATCCCAGCACTTTGGGAGGCAGAAGCAGGAGAACTGCTTGAGACCAGGAGTTCAGGACCAGCCTGGGAAACAAAGTGCAATGCCATTTCAACCATAAAACACAAAACAAAACAAAACAAAATTGTGGCTGGGCACGGTGGCTCATGCCTGTAATCCCAGCACTTTGGGAGGCCGAGGCAGGCAGATCACAAGGTCAGGAGATCAAGACCATCCTGACCAACATGGTGAAGCTCCATTTCTACTAAAATACAAAAAACTAGCCAGGCATGGTGGCACACATCTGTAGTCCCAGCTGCTCGGGAGGATGAGGCAGGGGAATCACTTGAACCCGGGAGGTGGATGTTGCAGTGAGCCGAGATCACGCCACTGCACTCCAGCCTGGTGACAAAGTAAGACTCTGTCTCAAAAACAAAAACAAAAAAACCTGTTTTTAATTAGCTGGGCATAGTGTCATGGGCCTGTAATCCCAGCTACTTGGGAAACCCAGGGAGGAAGCTCGATCACCTGGCCCAATAGGTCGAGGTTGCAGTGACAGCTAGTCACTGCAACCTCGACCTCCTTAGAAGTGCCACTGCACTTCTAAGTGGCACTTAGAAGAGTGGCACAAGAGTGAGACCCTGTCTCAAAATAAATAAATAATAAATAAATCAGAAATTTAGCTAGGAGCTTCAAATGACAGGACATTTGTATATACAGTGGATTTCCTAATCATGGGTCCGCTAACTTGCTGGACCATAGTCTTAGTTTCGTATGCCTGACCCTCTAAAATGAGGGATGAGTCCAGGTAGCTCATTCCATGGCAGGTAGCAGTCTTTTTTTTATTTTTGAGACAGGTTCTTGCTATGCTGCCCAGGCCGGTCTCATCTCAGGCTCATGCGATCCTCCTTCCTCTGCAGTGGCTGGGATTAGACACAACTGCCACCACGCCTGCTCCTAGGCAGTAGTCTTAATGCCTGATGATGGGGGGTTGGCGAAGGAAGGAAAGTATCAGGGTAAATGTTGCAGAGCTGTGTTAAGGACTTAGGCCCTGGAATCAAATGCCTCTGCTCACATCCCACTCTGCAAGACTTTGGGCAACTTAAGCAGCAGCCTCTGTTTCCATCGCAGTGGCTCTTGCCTCTAATCCCAGCATTTTGGGAGGCTGAGGCAAGACGATCACTCGGACCCAAGTTCGAGACTACCCCATCTCTACAAAAAAATCCAAAAAGTAATCTGCTTGCTCATGCGGATGTGGTTGTAAGGAGTAAGCGAAATAACACGCAGAGTGCAATGAGCAAGTCCCAGCACAAAATACTCATTTCATAAAATACGTGTTTATTATTGCCATAGGCCTACAGTCCCCGGTATTCTTAATATATCTTGCCTGAGAAGTATCACACTCATGCCTATTAACCAGCTCATACATTTTTTCAATCAAAGGAATTTGGCAGTTGTAGGGTTGTCTTTTCATTCACATCGTCCCTGGAATTAAGTGTCCTGCTACACCAGTGCAGATTCAGCAGCATGTGTCAAGAGTGTCAGTTCCATCTGCAGAGGAAAGGCTCTCTGGCTTCGGTCCGTGGCTCTCCGCGGGTGCGGTGTCTGGACCCGGCCTATCTTCATCTCTGTTAGGCTTCGGGGTCTTTCTCCACACCGTGTCTTGTCCAATCACAGGACTTCAGCGGAGCCTGCGGTCTGGCCTAGGCTCTTCTGCGTGGGATGTCTGCAGGCCAACAATGCGAGTCGGGGTTCGAAGCCGCGCGCAGTGCCCGGAACGACCCCTCCACGTCGAGGCCAGTGTAGAGCCCGGAAGGCAAAGTAAAGGCCTCGGCCCCGCACAGCCCAGGCTTAAATGTTTCCGCCAGGGCCCCTCTGGCTACCTGGTGGTGGCCCCGAACGGCCACGGAGGCCGCGGCGTAGCTCCTGGGTGAAGGTGTCTCTGAATCGCCCAGCGCGGCGGCACAGGGAGCCTGCGGGGCCAGCCGCGAGGTCCTGCAGGCGGCGGGCCGCGTCCTGGCCCCGCAGCTGGGCCTGCAGCAGAGCGAAGGCCGTGAGCTGCGCCGCACGTCGGATAGGCCGCGACTCGGACAGACGTTCCACCAGCTGCGGGCTGTGCAGCAGGGCCGCCAGCAGCCGCCGAAGCACCATCTTCTCCAAGCGCCCGGGAATCCGACCTCACCGCCCTAGTCTTCCGCCCGGCGGCGCCCGACCCGGACGTCATCTGCGCCCGCGCAGCTTGATGACGACACTGCCGCCCTCGGATTGGGTCCAATGAGATGCGCGCTTCCGCGCGTTTCCGCTTCCGCCACGGCAGACGCCACCTCGTGCCGGGAGTCGCCGCGTCCTCGTCCGCTTGTCTGCGCTATGTCGGGTGGCCTCCTGAAGGCGCTGCGCAGCGACTCCTACGTGGAGCTGAGCCAGTACCGGGACCAGCACTTCCGGGTGAGGGAGGCCGGGCCGCGAGAGGGGAAGGCCCTGGGCCAGAACGCTGAGAAACGGTTTGCTCTTGTCTCATTGTGTCGCCTCCCGTTCTGCTGCAATCCCCAAACGCCAAGGGGGGCCCCGGTGCCGGCTGGGGAGGCAGGGAGCGGGTGCTGCGGGGGCGCCTGGACATCACTGAAGCCGCTGGCTGTGGGAGACAGGGCATTTGAGGCTCGCTTTCCTGTTCCCTCCAGCCGCTCCCTGCGCCCGAGCCGGTGCCGAGAGGCCTGAGCGCTGATGGTAGTGGCGGCTCCCGTTTCCAGGTTGTACCCCGCAGATGGCTGCGTAACAAGGGCGGGGTGCCCTTCTCTCTCCCAGAGTGTGCAGAGGCGCCTTCTTGATGCAGATTCGGGGCTTTTTACGTTCTTTTTTAAATCGGCGAAGCAGTGCCCTTCTCTGGGAGGATGGTCTTAGGGAAGCTGTACGCGGTGCGTGGGAGACTCAAGTGAAGTCCTCACTCCGCCCTCGGGGAGGCTTCGGAGTGGGGAGGGGGACCCGCCAAGCTGGGCACTTTGAGGGTGTTTGGATGTGAAGATCGGAGAATTGCTGGATTTCAGAAGAGAGAAATTTTTAGTCCGGACTATATCACAGTATGTTTTGTGGAAAAAGGGGAGGCCGCAGATAATACAAAGTAGGCTTTTCAGTATCAGCAGAGGTAGGGATGGAATACGGTTGGGGGGTGGCGGCGCGGGACTCATTAACCCGGTTATTTAGTAAACATTTGTTGAGTGCTGTCGCCAAAGCCTTGTGCTAAACCCTGGGGGGAGGGAAGACAGTTTCTGCACTCTGCGAGCTCATAATCCCCTGTAGTGTGGATTATCAAAGAATCTAAGGTAGAAGTGAGTTAAAAGAGAGGCTGTGAGAATTCAGAAAAAGGGGGGAAATCCCCTTGTGACTGGGAAATGAAGGGGCGCATATAGCAGAGGTCAGTGTGGAGAACGTGTGAAATGTGTTACTAGAGTAGGGAAAAGGAAACTTTGTTTGACGCCAAATTAGGGAAGCTCTTAAATTTATTCAGTCAAGGCCGGGCACGGTGACTCATGCCTGTAATCCCAGCACTTTGGGAGGCTGAGGCGGGTGGATCACGAGGTTAGGAGTTCGAGACCAGACTGGCCGAGATGGTGAAACCCCATCCCTACTAAAAATACAAAAATTAGCCGGGCGTGGTGGCGGCGCCTGTAGTCCCAGCTACTCGGAAGGCTGAGGCAGGAGAATTGCTTGATCCCGGAAGGTGGAGGTTGCGGTGAGCCAAGATCGCGCCACCGCACTCCAGCCTGGGCAACAGAGCGAGA